TGCAGCGGAGCGTGGTCACCGAGCCCCCACGAGGATCTGTCCACGTTATCTGATTCATGCCAAACCAAGTCGAGAAATCCTTTGCTTGTTGTTCAGTGTTCCAGATGACGCTGAAGCTCTGACTTGACCGATGGAAATGAGGACTGGCCTCACCGACAGGAAGAGATTCAGGGAGGCGACGAACAATATCATCCCAGACTTTGCGCCTCGTCACGTCGAGCACCTTCCGAGGGAACGTGCCCACCCACCTGCGACAGACATTCTGGGAATCAGACGGTGCCGCAGCACCGAGATCCATGTTGTGCGTGATCGATGATGCAGTCGACGGCGTGGCACCAGTGCTACTGGGAAACTCCCAGCGGCGGCGCTTAGCTCCAGACTGTCCACTGTGCTGCGATCCACCTGCATCCGAAAGGGCAGCAGAGCTCCTGGTCATGTCCTTCTTCAACTTCTCCACCGCCTCCATGCACTCGGCGTACTTCGAGTCCATCTTCTTGTGAAGGTCGGCAACGTTGGTCTCCAGCACCGCGATGGCAGGCTTGAGAGCGAGCAGACCCTCGATCGCTTCATCAGTCTTAGATGTCCGAGCAAGTAGTTCTGCGTGCTGTTTTGTCTGAGCCTCGGCCATCGTCTTCAGCATCTCACCCAGCGACGCGATGTCCGCCATGGCTGGAAGGAGAACGGAACTCGAACGGGGGTCTTCCTATAATCAGACTGAGTAGGGTCGTGTGCAGCCAAAACAAGAGAAAGCGGCAGTCCCTGTCCGTGGGCCTCTCCAGGACTGCACACGTGCGCGGTCCGCCTCGACACTCGAGACGGGGGTTCCCCGAAATGTAGCCTTGAGCCAAAATGGCTTGAGCCAAAATGGCTACGGATGATGATGATGATGATGATGATGATGATGATGATGATGACGATGAGGATGCCAATATCAGGACTTGTTGCTTTTCGTACAAGCATGAAGATTGTGAGGAGGAGATTGAGGAAAGCGGGAAAAAGAGGGACGCGGGGAGGCGATGGGGGGGGAGGCGAGGGAGGGGGGGGAGGCGAGGATGGGGAAGGCGAGGGAGGGGGGCGAGGCGAGGGGAGGCGGGGGTGGGGGCGAGAAGCGGGGGGAAGGGGCAACAGGGGGGAGGCGAGGGGGGGGGGGGGGGGGGGGGGGGAGCGGAGAGGCGACGGTGGGGACGGAGCGGGCATAAGGCCTCGGCGGCACAGGGGGGAGCGGTCCCAGACTCTCGACGTCGGGTTTTTTTCATAACGTCGACCCCCCGAGGTGGGCTTCTCGGATCCTCGTGGAGGCGTCCCGCTCCGACCATTCGAGGAGCGACGTGGAGGCGAAGCTGGAGAGAGGCGAACGAGTGCGAAAACCCCGACGGGGGCCCTCGGCGAAGCCGTCGCGAACGTGCCAGGGCCTCCCGAGCCTCCGAGGGCCTCCGACGACGACGACTCAGACCCCCGACGTCATTTCCCAATCAGTGCTTGCACTGAAGGGGTCCTTGCGGAGGTTGAAGGATTTGGCGAAAGTTTCCCGCCGATTTTGGTCGCACGCTGGGTTCCCGGGTTCCCGGTTCCGGGTTCCCGGGTTCCCGGTTCCCGGACCGATTTCGGTGGGCGGCGAGATTCCCAGGTTCCCGGGTTCCTGGTCGATCTTCTTATCGATCGGTCTCAGCATCGATCTCATTTCCCACCTCTCTATCGATCTCACCGTCGATCTCACAATCGATCTCACAATCGATCTCGCAAGCGATCTCACTAGAGATCTCACGAGCGATCTCGCGATCGATCTCCCTATCGATCTCATCGAATCGGTTTCACTCTCGGTCTCACGATCGACCTTACAATCGTCCTCTATCGAATCCACTATCGATCTCATGATCGATCTCACAATCGATCTCAAGATCCATATGACTAATTTTCAAATCATCCACTGATTGCGGTTTCCTCAGGTGTTTTTCTCAGGACGTCGACCCCCAGAGGCCTCCACCCTTTCCGCGGGACCAACCTTTGATCCTGGGTAGTTTTGTTGACGGCCCCAAGGCTCAGGAAGGGCCCCCATGGGCCGAAAACAGTGAAGGACCTTCCGTCGTGCTCTTGCTCATGACCCGAGGGGGTCTTGGGAGGGGGGCAAGACAGGGCGGGGCCCAAGAGGGGGCCCTCAGAGGCCGAACATGGCGAAGGACCTTCCGTCGTGTTTGTTCGGGGTTCCATGACTCAAGAGGGGGGGTCTGGGGAGGAGAGGAGGAGGAGGAGGAGGAGGAGGAGGAGGAGGAGGAGGAGGAGGAGGAGGAGGAGGAGGAGGAGGAGGAGGAGGAGGGGGCAGGCCAGGGCCAGCGCCGATGCCGCTCTCCGCCCGCCCGTGCCACAGGGAAAGAGGGCGGGGAGGGTCGCCGCGAGCCGAGGCGCGACGCGCTCGCTCGCGCGGAGGCGCAGAGACCCCGCCCCGAGCGCCACTGGCCCTCCCCTGCCTTGCGCTCGGCTGTGGGGCGATGCACCGAGTGACTGCTGCCGCCGTCTGAGATACGTTTTTTGGTCTGCGGGTCGAGGGCGGGCCTCTTCCGGTTAAGAGCTAGGCGGGCCGCGCACAGCACGAATTGGGGAGACGGGGCGCGGGCGGGCGGGGCCTCAGGCGGCCGGAGGGCGCGGGGTGCCAGCGGTGCCGAAGAGCTTGCACAGGAGAAGGTACGCCTTGGACAGGAGCCGGAGGCGAAGTCCCGGAGGGAGAGCACTCTGTCTGAGATACTGAGATACAAGTAGGGGAACAGAGCATGGCGGAAACATAACAACTCGGAGGTCCGCGCGGATTTGGAATTCTCGGATCCGCGCTGGACCCCCCTGGCGGCGCCTCCGGCGCCGCCCCTGGCGCGCTCGGCGCGCCAGGGAGGGGGGTCCAGCGCCGATCCGAGAAATCCGCGCGGCCCGGAACCAACGACCCCGGGAACCCGGAACTGGGAACCCGGGAACCCAGCGTGCGACCAAAATCGGCGGGAAACTTTCGCCAAATCTTTCGATTTCCGCTAGGACCCCTTCAGTGCAATCACTGATTGGGAAATTACACTTGAGAAAACCCCAATCAGTGGATGATTTGAAAATTAGTCATATGGATCGTGAGATCGATTGTGAAATCAGTGAAATCGATAATGAGATCGATAGTGGAGTCGATAGTGAGGACGATTGTAAGGTCGACCATGAGACCGAGAGTGAAATCGATTCAATGAGATCGATCGTGAGATCGATCGCGAGATCGCCCATGCGATCGATAGTGAGATCGATAGTGAGATCGATAGTGAGATAGATAATGAGATCGATTGTGAGATCGGTGGTGATATCGATAGAGAAATGGGTAATAAAATCGATGGTGAGACCGATCGATAAGAAGAACGACCAGGAACCCGGGAACCCAGGAACCTCGCCGCCCTCCGAAATCGGGCCAAAACCCGGAACCGGGAACCCAGGAACCCCGAACCAGGAACCTGGGAACCGGGGAACCCAGCGTGCGACCAAAATCGGCGGGGCACTTTCGCCAAATCCTTCAACATCCGCGAGGACCCCTTCAGTGCAAGCACTAATTGGGGAATTCATACTATGGAACTTGAAATCGATTGTGAGATCGATAATGAGATCGATAGTGGAATCGATAGTGAGGACGATTGTAAGGTCGGTCATGAGACCGAGAGTGAAATCGATCCAATGAGATCGATCGTGAGATCGATCGCGAGATCGCCCATGCGATCGATAGTGAGATCGATAGTGAGATCGATTGTGAGATCGGTGGTGATATCGATAGAGAAATGGGTAATGAGATCGATTGTGAAACCGATCGATAAGAAGAACGACCAGGAACCCGGGAACCCGGGAACCTCGCCGCCATAGGTGCGAAATCGGCCCGGAACCCGGAACCGGGAACCGGGGAACCCAGCGTGCGACCAAAATCGGCGGGGCACTTTCGCCAAATCCTTCAACATCCGCGAGGACCCCTTCAATGCAAGCACTGATTGGGAAACATTGAATGAGATCCGTAATGAACTCGGCAGTGAGATCGGTAGTGAGATCGATAATTAACCATCGGCCCGGAACCAATGATCAAGAACCCGGGAACCCGGAACTGGGAACCTTGGAACCAATGAGATCCGTGATGAACTCGACAGTGAGATCGGTAGTGAACCATCGGCCCGGAACCAATGACCAGGAACCAGGGAACCCGGAACCTGGAACCGGGAACCCGGGAACCCAGCGTGCCACCAAAATCGGCGAGGTACTTTCGCCAACTCTAGCAGCATCCGCGAGGACCGCTTCAGTGCAAGCACTGATTGGGGAATATCCACTGCGAGTTGGACTTTATTGGGGGGGCGCCAACAGGCCGCGGCGCAGTGGATATGGAGAAAAATCTGACCTTTGTTGCATCCATATCCACGGCGCCTCTGGTAGCGGAGGAAGGGAGCCCGAAACTCCAAGACGCAGTGGATATGGATAAAAATCTTGCCCGCAAAAGGGGGGGCCCTGAGATCCTGGCGTCGCAAAGACTTCGACCCGGGCGGCGTCGCCCGATTTCGGGCCACGAGATCGATGCGGCTCGCAAAGTGCAGCAGAAAGATGGGGTCTCGGGCTCCGGTCCTGACTAGTTCCGATGTTCCAGTTGTTCCGTGCCGTCGGATCGCAGGGGAGGAGAAGAGGGACAACGGCGTATAGGGGGAAGAGGGGGGGAACGGGAGGAAGGGGAGTGGCCAGGGGAAGCCATGGGGCGAGGGCAGGGATGGAGAGCCCCACGGGGGGGGCGGGGGGCAAAGGAAGAGCGCGGGAGGTGTGCGAGGAGAAGAAAGGGGGGTGGAGCGTGGCAGCGCCAAGGGCAGGCAAGCGGTGCGCCCGCTTCTGGCGAGGCTTTCCTCCTCCTCCTCCTCCTCCGCCTTCTCCTCCTCCTCCTCCTCCTCCTCCGCCTCCTCGCTCCTCCTCGCTCCTCCTCCTCCTCCTCCTCCTCCTCCTCCTCCTCCCTCTCCCTGGAGGTCCTCTTCCTGCTCCAGCGCCTCCTCGGCGCCCTGCTCCTCGGACGCGGCCCCGCGCGGCGCTGCTCCTGGCGACGCCCTCTCGCCCGTGGCCGGGTTTCTCTGGCGCGCGCTGCGCGAATAGCGGCAGGGAGGAGGGGTCGAAGGGCGAGGAGGTGGAGGAGGAGGAGGAGGAGGAGGAGGAGGAGGAGGACGAGGGAGACGTGGAGGAGGATGAGGAGGAGGAGGAGGAGAAGGAGGAGGAGGAGGAGGAGGAAGAGGAGGAGGAGGAGGAGGACGAGGGAGACGTGGAGGAGGAGGAGGAGACGGAAGAGGACCCTGCGAATCGCGGCGTTGAAGTGTTTCATGTAATCGGAGTTTTCGCCCGCTCTCGGGCCTCGATCGGGCTCGAAAGATGCAGCAAAGGTGGGGTCTTGAGCTCAGGGCGTGATGTTTCGCGACGCTGCACCTTTATCGCAGGGTCGGACCTCTGGGGGAAGGGAGGAACGAGAAAACAAATGAGGAGGATGAAGAGCAAGAGAGCCCGGAAAAGAAGGTGGACGAGGAGGAGGAGGAGGAGGGGCTCGAGAACCAGACTTCGAGAAGGAAGGAGGAGAGGGGAGGGCCAGCAGTAGAGGGAGGTCCGCGTGGAAGATCAGAGGATCGACGACGGAGTAGCACGAGGAGGTCGAAGAGGCTAAAGCGTAGGCTGGATGACTTTTCCCGGACCTCACCAGGGGAGCCGCGGATCGAGGGAAACCGTCGAATGACATCCCTCCTGCACTTTGGACAACACCCTGCAGTGGCTGCCCAGACCTCCCCCCTGCAGGTGAGTAGCATGTGCGAGCTCCTTCCCCCTCCTCCCCACTCCCCAGAATCTCCCCCATTCCCTGCCACAGCTCCACTCGGCGGGGCAGGAAAGGGGGAGGAGCAGGAAGAACAAGAGGACCAGGAGGAGGAGGAGGAGGAGGAGGAGGAGGAAGAGAAGAAGGAGGACTAATGTGAACCCAAGAGTCATGAACGATGTTGGAATGAACCTTCCTTCCAGGCTCCCTCTCCATAGGCCCCTACGACGGTTCATTTCCACTGAGGGAACTGCCTCGTTGGAAGACACCTGTTTGAAGAGCCTGAAGCGTGCCACAATATTATTCTCGGGACTCCAACGCCACGGATCAACCTGACTGTTGCGTCTTGACGATCCTGAATCGTGCCAGAACGCCATTTCCAGGACTGCAACAACACGAATCAAAGTAACTTGTGCACCCTCACAATCCGGAATCTGTCCAAAACGCAATTTCTGGTACGTTGACCATGGGAATCTGTGAGACTCTTGCAAATGTTTGAAACGAATGTGCGCGGCGCCAAAGCGAGAGACACGTGTTGAACAACACCCACCCTCAATCCGTGAAACTCTTGCACATCGTTAAAAAGAATGTGCGCGGCGCTAAAGCGAGAACCACACTTTGAAAACGACCCTCCCTCAATCCGTGAATCCCGTGCAAATTGTTGAAACGAATGTGCGCGGCGCTAAGGCGAGAGCCACAGTTTGAAAAACATCCTCCCTCAATCCGTGAAACTCTTGCACATCGTTACAAAGAATGCGCGCGGCGCTAAGGCGAGAACCGCAATTTGAAAACGACCCTCCCTCAATCCGTGAAACTCGCACATGTTTAAAACGAATGTGCGCGGCGCTAAGGCGAGAGCCACATGTTGAGAACGACCCGCCCTCCGTCTCTGAAACTGCTGTCGACATTTAAGCTTTAGGTTCAACAAATGGTGAGGAAATCTCAAGCGAAACGCCCGGCCCGCCCTTTCGACCAGCCTCGGGGTGCGACAGGGAGAAATTACTTATCAGGAAAAGGAATGGAGGAGGAGGAAGAAGAGGAGGAGGGGGAGCATGAATAGGAGGGGGAAGAGGGGGGGAGGAGGAGGAGGAGGAGAGGAGGAGGAGGAGGAGGGAGAGAGGAAGGAGGAGAGAGAGGGGGGAGGAGGAGGAGGAGGAGGAGGAGGAGGAGGAGGAGGAGGAGGAGCAGGAAGACCAGACCGATCCGCTGGGGCACACGAGCCGCAACGTGGCTCTCCGACATCGAACACTCGCCCTGCCTCCCCCCGCCAGAAACGTCGAAACGCCTCGTACCACCCGTCAACCGCCTTGCCAGAATCGATTGGCGCGCCAATAGCGGCGCTCTAGGCGCTGCAAAGGGGGACGAACGCCGATCTCAGAAATCCGCGTGGACCTTCGACAGTGTATATCTATGCAGTTGTTCCTTCGCTGGGGGAGGGGAAGGATTTTCCGGATTTCCGCCATCACGTGATCATAAGCCAAGCTGAGCTGAGCGCTAGCACTGAGGCAAACGGAAACGGTCTCGCGAGATCCAGTCAAGAAATTATCGACGAGCGCCGGAGATTGTCCGTGGGCACGGCCTGCTATCGCCATCACCGAGATCGGGACCACCATCCCTGAGGACCCTCGGTGAAGGCATACAACCGATGTTGGTGTTGGTGCCAACCCCTAGGCCTTCGATAAGAGAAGTCATGGGGAGAGGGGCAGCCGAGCATTCAGAAACAGCCTGCTGCCAGGCGTCCGGTGCTGCTCCCTCGAACTCCAGGCCGCGGCACCTGCTAATGCACTGCCGCCGGCCCCAGTAGGCCGGCACCTGAGGTCACTCCGGTGGAAGGTCACGTGGCGGAGGAGGAGGAGGAGGAGGAGGAGGAGGAGGAGGAGGAGGAGGAGGAGGAGGAGGAGGAGGAGGAGAGGGAGGAGGAGGAGGAGGAGGGAGGAGGAGTAGGAATAGGAGGAGGAGCAAGGCGAGGAGGAGGAGGAGGAAGGATGTAGGAGGAGGAGGGAAGGGACCTTTGGCGGCGGCGCACCAGGGGGAGGGAGGGGGGAGAGCTTCTTGGAAGAGGCTGCTTCTCCGAAGGCGCCGGCCCCACATCCATAGCTGAGGCCCGCGCCTGCTGAGAAGCAGGTGGTGCTTCCAGGATGCCCTCCCCCCTCCCCCCCCTCCCCCCTCGGCGCGTGGCTGAGACCTCCTGACGCCCACGCGGCCGGCGCGTGTGGACGCACGCGGGCCCCCCGTTGGGCCAGCACGCGAGGCGACGCAGCAGGACGGGGTCGTCTGCGCGGGCCTCGGCGCGCAGAAGCTGCCCGGGCGAGGCCGCGCGCGAGCCACGCCTCGCGCCTCGCGGCCCCGGGCAGCACGGCACCGAGGAGCGCCGAGCCCTCCTTCGTGCTGGGGCCGCAGACATCTATACCCTCCGCCGGGGGAAGGGACGCCCTCCTGAGAACCCCCCCCCCTCGCCTGGAGGCCGCCCCGGTGGGGCGGCCTCCAAGGGGGCCACTCGCACCGCAGGGTCTATGTGGATCCGGTCGATGCGATGCGACATCGACTTGGACAGCCCGGTCAGATTCGGTTCTGAGACTCCGACGATCAGGGTGCGGCCAGAGATTTCGTATCGCGCTGATACGCACCTATGTTGGCGCGGTCGGTTCGATGCGGTTCCGACTCCGTGCCGATGCAGCCCGATCCGACGGCCCGCGCGGGCAGTGGGCATGGACATAAGAGCGACGAGAAGAAGCAGGTCTCACGCGCGATGACATGGCGACCGCACGCGGCGGCTTACGCAGGCCGCCAGCTCGGCACGCCACACTGGAAACGAAGGCGCTCACTCGCGACCTTACGCGGGCAGCTTGCGCGCCAAGGTCCGTGCAGACGACCCCGTTTTCTGCGTCGCTCACGCGTTGGCCCCAGGGGGGCCCGAATAGGTTCGGGGGCGCGCAAACATGGATTAGCGATCCATGGAGTCGGTCGCCACATCCATGGATCGGGGGAGGTGCCCTCCCCAAAATGCGGCCGGTGCCGCCTCGTCCGGCGGCGGAAATCTGCGCTTTCCCACGGAAGCGGGACCCGTCGCTAATCCACGCCCCCTTGATCCATCTCTGCGATTGCCAGAATATGTGTGTGTGTGTGTTCCTATCCGCCATTCGCCGAGGCCTCGGGAGGTCGATCCCCCGCGCGGTGGTCAGGGCTGAGCCCCCGCCTCGGCTCGGCCCGACGGGGGGCCCGAGCCTCGAGGTGGGATGCGCCACCTCTCTGGAGGCACCCAGCCTTCAGCAGGAAGGGCGGGCCTGGGGACGACGACGACGGGGGAGGGACAAGGCCTTCTGGGACGTCAGTTTGGAGGAGGGGGAGGAGGAGGAGGAGGAGGAGGAGGAGGAGGAGGAGAAGGAGGAGGAGGAGGAGGAGGAGGAGGAGAGGAGAGGAAGACGAGGAGGAAACGGAGGAGGAGGAGGAAACGGAGGAGGAGGAGGAGGAGGAGTAGGAGGAGGAAACGGAGGAAACGGAGGAGGAGGAGTAGGAGGAGGCCCCGCCCCTGGATGCCCTGGCAGCCCTCGAGGCAGAAGCAGCAGCGCAGACGAACGCCTTGCAGGACCGTCCCTGTCAGGACCGCCCGGCCGACGTGAGAGAGCAAGGGGTCCGAAAATCGACAGAAAATGGCACAAGCACAAACTGTCGAAAGTTCGCGCGGACTTCACGCATCGGCTCGGTTGCTCCCCCATCTCCGGCGCGCCAGGGTTCGGCGCCGCAGGCGCCGCCAGGGGTGCCCACCGCCGATGCAAGAAGCCCGCGCGGAGCTTCGAGAGCTGATGCTTATGCCATGATTTCTTCTTCGAGGGAGGGTGGGGGATGAGAGGGAGCGAGCGAGCATGCAATAGTGCAGTCGAGAGTCGAGACGACGACGGCACGGCGCAGGGTGGGGACAGCCAAGGGGTGGCAAGGGACCACCGGGGGGAGTGGAGAGGTGGGGAGAGGAGGGAGGCAGGGATGGGCTCTGCGCTCCAGCGAGGGGGGGGCCCGGCGCCGATACAAGAAATCCGCGCGGACCTCCAAGGGTTTCCCTGTCATCCGCCGATGCGATTTGTCCAATCCGCGGCCCCCAAAGTCGTCTGGACCGCTTCTCTGGGGGTAGCATTGCGTACCAAAACCGTTCGTGATGGCCCCGGGGCCCGAAGGCAGCCCCAGGGGCCGACATCGAGGGAGAACGCCCGCAATGAAGCTACCACATCGTCGGAGATCAGGGTTTGCGCTCATGCATGTGTGTTTCTTCTTCTACCTTCCCCAGATGCCCTGCCAAATCCTAGCCCCGAGATCCGACGTCTCGAAACAACTGCATGATCGCGAACAAAAGCTGTCACCAGAGCCCCAGACCCCACCTTTCTGCTGCATTTTTCGGGAGACGGATCGATATGTGATGACCCTGGTGCCCGAAGCCTGGGGCAAAAACGCCCCGTGTTGGCCAAAATCGCAACGCCCGAGTCGCAAGGATCCCCGGAGGTTGGGTTTTTTTCAGGCCATACTGACCCCAAGCCTCAGGCTGGCCTTCGGGACGATTCTGCCCCCCACTCCCCCGCCCCCCCTCCACCCGGAACGCTGCCGACGAGGCCGCAGGGAAGCATCCCGAAGCAAAAGAGCCTGCAGGAAGCAGCGAACACTTCTGAACAATTCCGAGGAACCAGACGAAATGGGTAGGGACAACATGGGCGCGATGCCCAAAAACAAACGTTGTCCAACACGGACGGCAGCTGCTGTCGGGCAGGCGGCCTTCTGCCTCAAAGGGACGGCGTCGAGGCCTCGAGTTCTTCCGAGCCTCTGGCCCCGCGGCGCGGAGCGACGCGCCATCCGCTTGCAAGGGACGGCGTGTCGCTGGTGCCGCCGCCGCGACACGCTGTTGTCGGTCGTCGTGCCCGTTCTTTCCGTAGCCTCCCCTGGGTAGACCAGAATGTACCGATACCGCTACTCCCCAGGCGGCCTCTCCCAGGGTGCGTCCTCCCAGAATCTCGGGGCGAATCCATCCGCGGCGACGAGGGCCTCCCAGGAGGCCCCCCGAAGGGGAAACCGAGGGAAGAGTCGCGGCACGGGTACCCCAGATTTCGTGATAAAGGGAGGGGGGGTCTCATTTCGGGGGGGGTCTCTTCCAGGCCATCTTGGAGGGCCTGGGGGGTCTGGGGACGATGCTTTGGAGGGTCCTCCCACGGGGGAGGCCTGAGATGGCTTGTCTTGGAGGGTCCAGACCCCCTCCCCTTTATTACGAAATCTGGATTACCCTTCCCTCCTCGGGGCTTCGATCGTGCCGATCGATCCTCGGGCCTCTTTCCCCCTCTCCCCCTCGACGGTGCCGCTGCGGCGCGCGGAAGGGGCGGGCCGGCGGGGCGCGGGCCGCCTGGCTGCCCTCTCGGCCCCTGCGCCGCCGCCTCTTCCTCCTCCTCCTCCTCGGCCTCCGCGTCCACGTCGGCCCGCTCCTGAAGACCGGGCCGGGCACCAGCATGGAAACCATCGCCGCTCTCCTCCTCCTCCTCCTCCTCCTCCTCCTCCTCCATCCTCCTCCTCATCATCATCATCATCATCATCATCATCATCATCATCATCATCATCACATCATCATCATCATCAACATCATCATCATCATCATCATCAACATCATCAATCATCATCATCATCAATCATCATCATCATCAACCTCATCATCATCATCATCATCACATCATCATCATCATCAACATCCTCATCATCCATCATCAACATCATCATCATCAACATCATCCTCATCATCACCACACCATCACCATCACCATCACCATCACCATCACCATCAACCATCACCATCATAGCAGCCGAATCATCAACATCAAGCATCACCATCACCATCATCAGCATCAGCAACAGCATCAGCATCAGCATCATCAGCAGCAGCCAATCCAACACCATCACCATCACCATCACCATCACCATCACTCACCATCACCACTCCATCACCATCACCATCATCATCATCAATCATCATCATCATCATCATCATCATCATCATCATCACATCATCAACAATCACATCATCATCATCATCCATCATCATCATCATCATCATCCCGCTCCTCCTCCTCCCGCTCCTCATCCCTCCTCCTCCTCCTCCTCCTCCCTTCTCCTCCTCCTCCTCCTCCTCCTCCTCATCCTCCTCCTCATCCTCATCCCGCCTCCTCCTCCTCCTCCTCCTCCTCCTCCTCCTCCTCCATCCTTTTCCCTTATCAATCACTCTTCCCCGTCGCACCCCGAGACGTGTCGGTGGCGCGGGCCGGTCGTTTCGCCTGAGACTTCCTCGCCATTCAACAGCTTCACGGATGGAGGGCGGGTCATTTCCAAAATGCGGCTCTCGCCTGGGCGCCGCGCGCATTCGTCATAAAAGCTGGCAAAAGCTTCATGGATGGAGGGCGGGCCGTTTTCAAAATGTAGGTCCCGGCCCTAGCGCCGCGCACATTCGTCTTAAAAGTCTGCAAGAGCTTCACGGATAGAGGGCGGCTCTTTTCAAAATGTGGATCTCGCCTTAGCGCCGCACGCATCAGCCTTAAGAGTTTGCAGACATGTCACGCAGTCTTGTTTGTTGCTGACGACCCAGAAATCATGCTTTGGCACGATGTCGGACTGTCAGGACGCAACGTTCACGTTGATTCGCGGTGTTGTTGTCCTGAGAACCGCGTGCTGGCACGAATCAGGATCGTCAGGACGCAACTGCATCGTGGATTCGCAGCGTTGAAGTCCCAGGACGGGTGTTTTGGCACGGCTCAGGATTCTCATACGGTCGTCTTCCAATGGGGCACTTCCTTCATTGAAGCAAATTCCTTTCTCTTAGGGACTTGTAACACTTGAACTTGGAGGACGGGTTTATTGCAACATCGTTGATGAGTCTTGGGTTTAACATTGACCTTCCTCCTCCTCCTTTTTTGACGTTGGCCAGACATGAAGACTGCGCTTGTTGCATTATCCTCCTCCTCCTCCTCCTCCTCCTCCTCCTCCTCCTCCTCCCTACGCCCTCTTGGGTTCCCTCCAGCTGGTGAAACCATCGCCGCCGTCCTCGTCCTTGGCACCGCTCACCGCTGCCGCCACCCTTCCCGATCCTTCCCTGAGATCCTAGCGTCACACTTGTTTCGCCCCGGGCGTTCTCGCAGAATCCAAGGCCCCGGGACCCTCAAAGATCGACCTGGCTCGCAGAACGCCGCAGAAAGATTGTGTCTGGGGCTCTGGTCGTCGTCCGATCTCAGGGGCCTAGAGTAGAAGCAGGAAAGACGCCATAAACATAAACTTTCGACGTTCCGCGCGGATCTCTTGGATCGGCGCTGGGCCCCCCCTTCACTGGCGCACGGGGCTCTTCCCTGCCTCCCCCCTCCCTTCCTCCCCACCCCCTCTCTCCCCTCTCATCCCCCCCTCCCTCGAAAAAGGAAGCCCGCCGTGGGTAACCCCTGAGATCCTGGCGCCCAATGGATGTTTGGAGGCGGGCGTGTTCGCAACTCCGGGCTCGCAACATGCAGCAACAAAGATTGGTGTCCGGGGCCCGCGTCGTAAGTGGCACGATGCTGCACTTGTGGCTCGCGCCGTCGGCTCTCAGGGCTCCCTCGCGGCGCCTCTGGCGCCGCCCCTGGGCTTGGAACGCCCGCAATGGGTACGGAAGAAATAGGTACAATGCCCAACAAAAGATGCTGTCCCAGACCAGCAGCGGCCGCTGCTGGGCAGGCGGCCTTCCGTCTGAAATGCGCGCAGGCCGCGGCGGCGCGGACAGCGAATCTGGTTCAAAAGGAAGCGAACTGATGTTGGGCATTGTGCCCATTCTTTCCGTACCCCTTTCGATCGTGCCGACTGGTGCACTCCGCGCGCCAGGGAGCAGGGGCCGGCGCAGGTCCCAGAAATCCGAACGGACTGTCGAACGGACTGTTCTCCTCCTCCTCCTCCTCCTCCTCCTCCTCCTCCTCCTCCTACTTATCTTCATCCTCCTCCTCTCCTTCTCATCCTCTCCTCCTCTTCCCCCCCCCTTCCCCATCCTCATCTTCCTCCTCCTCCTCGGCGGCGCCACAACGGGCCCACGGCGAAGCAGTAGCGATCATGCAACATGGGCCGGCGGAATGAGCGAAGCGATTGAATAATTATGCTTGTGCCGGTTTTCCTTCTTCGATGAAGACGGGGTCGGCCGGCAACGTGGAAGCCCGCCGTAGGCAACGAGCGGGCGTGGCGTAACGGGGGGGCGAAAACTGAAGGGGCCCTGGGACACACACACACACACACACACACACACACACACACACACACACACACACACACACACACACACACACACACACACACAACACACACCACATAATAAGACACAAAGCACACGAGAACCCCATAGTGTCCTGTATTTCTGGATTTATGTCTTCCTCTTCTCCCATCTCCTTCGTCTACCCCTTTCCCTCCCCCTCCTGCCCCCCAATCCTTTCCTCGTAAACGATACCTCCCTGTCGCACGAAATTGTCTCTGTGCTTTTCCCCTCCTGAAGAACGACGGGCCGGGAGAAGGGCGGACCTTGCGTGCACCGTCGGGGCCCGAAAGGGGCCCTCCTGGGGGCCCGAGGAGTGCACGACAGGTCCCCCTCCTCCTCCTCCTCCTCCTCCTCCTCCTCCTCTTCCTCCTCAACCTCCTCCTCCTCCTCCTCCTCCTCCTCCTCCTCCTCTTCTCTTCCTCAACCTCCTCCTCCTCCTCCTCCTCAACCTCCTCCTCCTCCTCCTCCTCCTCCTCCTCCTCCTCCTCCTCCACCTTTCTTCACCCTGTTGATCGCACCCCCTTTACGCAACGCCAGAAACGACGAGGATGGGCCAATGGACGGGAGGACGCAAAGGTGGGACGGTGGGGTCCGAGGAGGATCGCTCTGGATGGCCCCTGGAGGCAGGAAAACTCAGCCTCAAGCTGGGTCCACTCCCTGACCCCACCTTGGGCTAAACCCCCCTCTGCGTACCCTCGAGCTGGGGGGAGCCTCACGGCTGCCAGGTATCATTTGTTCCTGAAAATGAAATCGCCTGAAGGTTCGCTCGCATGCTTTGCCAACCGTTGCACCGCACAGGAATCCCTCTGTGCCCAAAAACTCGGCCAAGCGGAAGAGGAGGACAGAGGAAGACATCGCCCGTGGGCCAGAGCACCGAGCGAGCCGCGGCGGCAGCCGGCAGCCATGGGTTACCCTACGGCCACCACGCCAGGCGCCCGACATGTGAGCCACGAAGAGGCACCAGGCGCCAGCATCGTGCATCCCGGTTGACTACCTACCAGACCACCCCAACCCAACCCGAAGACCCGATCTTCGGGTTGGGGGGGGGTAAGGGTTCCACGCGTCATTTTTCGAGGTTTCCCGACCCCCCCCAACTGGAAATCGAGGGTAAATCTGAACCTTCGGGTTGGGTTGGGGTGGTTTGCTGGGTGGTGACCGGTGGCACGACGCGCGCGGGGGGGGGGGGGGCCGACACGGGCGCGCGGGGCGGCGTGCGCGCCCACCCCCCGCCGGGGCAGGGGCCGCAGGCGGAGCCCCGCGCGAGGGCGCGGAGCGCGCGGGGTGTGCCCCACGACGGGCGGGCAGCTTCGTCGACGTCGTCGTCGTCGTCTTCGTTGTCGCCGTCGTCGGCGTCGTCGTCGTCATCGTCGTCGTCTTCGCTGTCGCGGTCGTCGGTGTCGTGTTCATCGTCGTCGTCATCGCCTTTGTCGCGCGGCGAGCGGCACTGCCCCCCTCTGGCAGACGCCGCGGCCAGGCGCCGAGCCTGCCAGCCGCCGCCCGGCAGCTCGCCATCGCCTGCCGGTCCGTTCCCCGTGCGCCCGTCGGCTTCGTGCGCCCGCTCTGTTCGCAGGGCGGCCAGCGATGATGGGCCTGTTTTCCACCACCACCACCATGAGCTGGAAGCGGAAAGGAAGAGGAGGAGGAGGAGGAGGAGGAGGAGGAGGAGGAGGAGGAGGAGGAGTAGGAGGAGGAGGAGGA